CGGGACGGCAGCGCCCACACAAGCACCTGCCAAACCCAGCGACGGACACGCGGCGGCTACGTTTGCAACAACATTTTCACCGGAGGAAGAGATAAACGCTTAGAAACGCCCATATAGCTAGCATGATGCCTTCTATTTCTAGATGACAAAGACAAAGTTTACCAGTACTACGACACTATGACAAAGGTTACCGGTACTTATCTGAACTAACGTCATGATCACTGCCACTAGATATAAAGAAAACGTTGATTTTTCACTCAGTGCTATTCAATGGCAGTAAAAAAAAAAAAAATAATGTCGTTATTGTGCACTGCTGCTCGTAGACTAGCTCCAGTGCCGTAGACAGTAAAAGAAAGTCCAGTGCTCATTGCTGCATTGCTAAATGATAGCAACTCACCAGGACACTTCACCAACTCTCCACTCATTCTCCTCGGACCATGCATTTAATTGGCGTTGACGGCCATCAGTTCTTGGCAATTCCTCATTTGCCCTCTCCTGCCTGGCAGGTTCGAAATTATACGGCTGCGGGCCATCATACATGTTGGCTCTTGCCACCTCTTCCTCATCCCAGTCAGTCTCCATAGCTCTAATACTAGGCTGAGGCGCCCTTTCCTCCACTTCTCCCCAACGTGACGTCATTACCGAATTGCGTAAAAAAAAAACGTTAATACCAAAAACTTAAAAAACTGTGCCCGTATTCATAAAGAATCTTAATGTCGAGTCGCTCCTAGTGACAACATTTTAAGAAAATTCTTAGAAATGTGGGCGTTTACTCTTAAGATTAAAGAAAAAATCCTAGTAAAGAAAAAAGTAATTCAGAAAGCATCTTAACCCTTAAAAGAGGTCTTACGGTCAAAATTGTTAGGAGTACAGACGAGGACTTTTAAGAGGCTTAAGAGTTTCTTTAGCAGAGGAGAAAATGGCAGAAAGACGAAGAGGGAGAAGACGATGGATGACAGTGAGTTAATAAGACGCTATAGATCGACACCCGGCCCGAGTTTTCCTTTACGTATGGCCTTGTGTTCGTCCACTAACTGGGCTAACAGTAAACACTGTTCCTCTGTCCAGTCGGGCTTTCTCGTCCTTCTTGGTTTTGATTCCATGTTTGTTACATTAAAACCAACATTCAAACCACCACTCAAATAGACATGCCAGCAATCAGTGTAATTGGAAAGAGTGGAACAATTTGTATCATTCTAAGCCAATCAAACACCTTATAGGAAATTAACAGCATGGTAAATAAAAAAAATGATTTATATACACATATATAATGTGTCTGTGTGTGTGTGTGTGAACGGTCAAATAGGAAAAATTACACATATAATTTCAAAGTGAAGGCTTAGAATAGACCCTATACTTAAAATGACTCTTTTTTTCCTTCTTGGACAACCAACCAATCACAGTCTTCAAAAGATTGTGTCACACATAGCAACGGGGTCAGCCCCGCCTCCTCACTAAGATGAACGTTTTAGTCTTTTCCTTACTCAGAGTTGCTCTCAGATCGGTCCCGAATCGCTCTTAAGCTAAGACTCCTACATAAAAGTTTTTAAGCTAAATTAAGAGTTTTCTGAGAGGGTTCTTAGAATCTTTATTATGAATACGGGCCCTGGGGCCGTATTCACAAATAATTTTATCTTACCACTAGGAGTACTCCTAAATCGCACTAAAATATTTTAGCTAGGAGTTTTGTCTTAAAAGTTATTCACAGCGCCTTTCAGACCTACTCTTAGTAAGGAAAAATGACAACTCCTAAACTAAGAGTGAGTCTTCGTTGCTATGGATGACGTCAATTCTCATACACGAGCTTCCTCGCAATGATCACGGTGATTGGTTGTTAGATGACAGGGCCATCATGCGGAGCATAACACAGACGCAACAAATCATGGAATTACGACATCTACATATGTCTGTGTCCTACACAAAATTATAATAGTAATGTCATCGAAATACATATATGAAATACACATATGACATGTTTGTGCAGGCCCCAGTGAAGTGTGATTCTAAAAAGGCAGAGAGAGAGAAAAGTCGTGAATTAAAATAAATTAAATCAAGGTAGCCTAATACCCCAATGAAAACCTCCACTTGCCTAATAATGAAAAACAACACTTGCATTAACACTTGCTTGGTTAATTGACATCCTATTAGCCTAAATAGACTACTTAAAGCAAGGAAATGTTGCTCTTATTGAAGTAATGTAATAGTTGAATGACAGTGGATTATAAAGTCGCCAAAACGTAAAAGAAAGCCCAACTGGACGCAGGATCAGTTACTGCTGCTGGCCCAGTTGGTGCTAAAAAAAAAAAAAAAAAAAAACATAATAAAAGTGAAATTCGGCACTGGGATATCAAGCAAAACTAAGCGTGAGAATGGGAGAGGATTTGTTTGCAGATCAATGCAGCATTCATTGTGTCGTGGACCCCGGACGACTGCGAGAGGCGGTGGTATGCGCTTCAATCCTTTGTGAATAGGTCTTAGTGAGTTAGGAGTCCTCTCGACTTCTTTTAAGCTGTCCCAGACTTAGGTGCTACTTTTAGGGCTAAAATGCTTCGTGAATTACTCTTAGTAAAAAAAATTAGGAGTCCTAAAGTTAGGAGTGACACGCCCATTATTTTTAGGAGTTGCTCCTAAATTCGCCAGTTAGGAGCTACTTTTAGCCTTAAAATTCTTTGTGAATACGGCCCCTGGTCTTTAAGACCATTTTTGAGAAATTTTAAAAATGCTATACATATCTTGAGTGATTTATGTCCCCATTAATCGACAGTGGTGGTTAACCTGCAACACGGCCTTTTAATAAAATCGTGATATAAACTAGTTTCTGTGAATATTAAACCGCAAAAAGACTATTTAAATATGAATCCTGCATGTTCTGTGTGAATAAATGGCGACATGGACACATGAACTTCATCTCCAGAGCCGCTCTGAGAGTCACTTCATCCGCTTCATTTGAGAAAAACTATTGTCATATCTGTATCATAAACACAGAGACTCAAAGCTCTTCACGGCAACCCGTCAAAATAAAAGTTCGGTTTAACTTGAAGAAATTACGACAGAATTATATTACTGTTGTACAGTCGAATGTATCTACGTCTCAATGCAATAATAATACTAAACTTTTCATAGAATTGATTCTTAAATCATTGATTTATTTAAAATTTTATTAAACCGTTAAAATGGAATCCAGAAAGCTTAAAACAAAAAAACACAGAATTTGGTTAAAAAAAAAAAGTATGATGCTACACTTAAAAAAAAAAAAAATCTATTTTCTTAAATTGTATTTTTGGCTTGTTTTGTATAATTTTTTTTTTTTTTTAAGTCTTTAAATCTTAAAATTCCAAGTATATTTTGTATTATAAATCTGAAGAAGGCACGTGCCGAAATGCGTCTGTGCAAATAAAAATAAAAAGAACATATGCCTTTCTCATTTTCATATTATAAATCTTATAATTTTATATTTAATTTATACTTTAATTTTTTTATGTTTTTTTTTTTCTGGTGAAATATGATATGTCTCTTCTTTCACTTGCAGTTAATTTCTTTCAATTCACTTATTTCTGTCAGCTCTTGCAGTGGAATGTTTGGTGAAACCTTTGTTAACTTGGCAGTTGAATGTAATTCACACCCATGTCTACCACTCCTACACACACACACACACACACACACACACACACACGCCGCCCTCATGAACACTAACTGACCATGGCGCAGTGATAGACGAGCATGTTGGGCCTGTTCATCTGCATTCCTCCGGGCCAGAATCCGGCTCCATAGGATCGGCTCAGGGATTGTCACACAGAGCGGCTTGTCTTCAGTGCCTGATTTTGTGTTGATTTGTCTCGCTTTCATTTATCGTTGAGTGTTGAGTTTCACCAAGTAGATATGAGCATCGTGCAAGATTAAAAAAGACTTACTTACACTAGGACAGCATTCCAGTTTGCATGCTTAAACTATGCAAGTTAAGTTAAAAAAGTACTTACACTGCAAAATATAATTCTAAATATTTAAATGTCAGTATTTATTATTTAGAGATTTTTCAATAATAGTAATGAGAGTGAATTATTATTTATTATCATTTGTTATATTATTACATTATTATTATTTAAAAATCTCAAATATCATTTAAACAAGAAGAAATATAAATCGATATTTTATTTTTTTTCTTCAAATCTCAGAATTTGTTATATATTCTAATTATAATAGAAATATTATAATTGTGATAAATTACATATTTAGTAATTGTGTTATAATAAATGTATTATATTATAATATTAATCATATTTATTAGCCTATATTATAATCAATATTTTTTATTTATCTAAACATTCTTTAAATAACAAACATTTACTTGCATTTTTTTCTAAATCTCAGAATGTATTACTATATTTATTATAATTTTAATAAATATATGGTTTATTATGTTATATCATGATAGTGCATGTATTGCATGTATTATTATTATTATTATTATTATTATTATATGTATTATATAATCAATATTATGAACTATCAACATATTTACTAGATATATGTACTTTTTTTTCAAAATCTCAGAATTTATTATAATAATTAATTTTTATATTATATAATAAGCATTTATTTTAGTTATTAATTAAACTATCTATACAGTCTTTAAACAAAATAAATGTACTTAATTTTTTTTCTAAATCTCAGAATTTGTATTATATTATATGTTCAATAAATAAATACTTATAATATATATATATATATATATATAAGTATTTATTTATTAAACATCCTTTAAATACTATAAATGAAGTTGAGAGGCAGAACTGAATAGATATTGCAAATATAACTGATTGATAAAGTTCACATAATAAAAGTTATTAAGTCTTATAAAACGTACTTATAAAAATTACAAAAAGCATTATTCATTTCATTGTCCAAAAATAGACGTCCTTTTCTTTAAGCTAGACTTATTTCTTTGTTGTGATTATTTTGTGAGGCAAAATATGACCCGGACGTGTTCTCGAAAGGTTTTGTAAGATTCACCCACAAGGAAAACAAATTAGCGAGATGTTTCTTGCACAAAAACCTTTTATTCTGCCGTGTCAAAAATAGCCCTACTGATATAATCAGTGCCGACTGAGAATGTGTGTTTCCTGTTCTGTCCCTATTAGTGTTTTCCAGAACGATGGCTCCGAGAACAGAGAGAAGCGGGAGAGCAACAGGTTAGTGTTTGTTTTCCCCCAGCTCTCGACAGAAAGTGCTCTCAGAAACAGCACTATATAGGCCTCGATGCCTGAAATGGTTGTGTTGTAATCGTGTAATTTTATGGTCTTGACTTTTAACACAGCGACACATAAAGATGATGGTTTCCAGACACGCTGCTTTATAGGGCAGATCTGCGTGTGTGTTGGGAATGAAATGCTGCGAAACCGAGAGAGAGAGAGAGAGAGAGAGAGAGAGAGAGAGAGAGAGAGAGAGAGAGAGAGAGAGAGAGAGAGAGAGAGAATTGAATTTGAAAAATTACTTTATTTCACAATCATCTTAATACACACAATTTAAACAGCTAACAACAGAAAACAAAATTACGGGAAAAAAATTAAATCATCTTCAAAAATGGTACAAAAAACTCCCTTACAACACCAAATCTTCTCAAAAGTAAACAAATCATTCATAGTTTTATAAAATTTGTAATCAATCAATACTCTTGATTTCACCAATGTTAAAAAAGTCTCAATGATGTTTTGACCAGGTTTCTGTTCAAGTTTATCCCTTCTGCTAATATATATAGCCATTTTTGCTTCACCAATTATAAAATTCAGTAACTGACAAATGTATTTCTTTTTTTGACTATATTTAAAACCCAAAATAAAAACAGTTTCCGTAAACGATTCATTAAAACCACAAAAACATTTTTTTAAAAACTCAAACAAAGATATCAATCTAACACATTGTACAAAAGCATGAAAAATTGTTTCTTTTTGCAAACAAAAGGGACAAGCATCATTAACTTCCACATTTAAAAGAGAAACAAAAGAATTAACAGCTAAAATACCATGAAGAATTCTCCATTGCAAATCACCAACCTTTTTTGATAATGGCGGTTTATATAGAACTCTCCATTCAGGTTTTACACTGTCCTTTAAGCCAAAAAAATTCCTCCACGGTGTATCAGATTTTCTTGCCAGATGATTCTTATTAAAACCCATTACACAGGCTCCATACAATATCTTTCCTTTAGTAGATAATAAATCTAAACACTGTGAGTCCCAAGTTTTAAATGGAAAACCTTTAAAACCATCCAACTTTGGTGAAATCATCAAACAAGGGAAAAAATCGTTGTCATCAGGAATAGATACTCCAGAAAAATAATCTTTTAACATTAGCCTCTCCTCTGTTGTGAGGGTAGACTTTAACTTAGCTAAAAAAAGAGCAACTAATCGAATAGATCTAGTGCCTAAAAATTCAGCTACTTTTACAGTATTGTCTAATTTCTCTCCAGCTATGTCCAGCAATTGTCTTAAAACAAACACTTTTGATTCTTTAAGCTTAAAACCACAATTAAAAAAACTGTTATTCTCATTTACATCCAACCGGGCACCAAGAATTAAAGGTTCCTCCAGAAGCCAGTAAAGTGAGTACGGGTTTTCAGATTTCTGAATATAAAACAGACTCCAAACTTTAAAAAGACTCTCATAGAAAGGTGGAAAAACAGACAAGTCCATTTTTAAAGGGTTTAGTAGAAACAGATGTTTGTTTAGTCCGAAACCTCCAAAGTTTTGTAAAACAATATGGGCCATTGCCCTCCAGCTGACGTCCGATGCACCGTCTAAAAGTCTCTGCAGAAACTGCAGACGGAAAGCGGCAGTTCTACTCTGTAAATGAATCAGTCCTTGTCCCCCTTCTTCTTTCGGTAGATAAAGAACACTCTGCCGAATCCAGTGTAGTCTATCCCAAAAAAAGTCTACAAGAATCGCTTGTATTTTCATCAGTAGTTGAGGAGGAGGATCAATACACGCCAACTTATGCCACAGTGAAGACGCGACCAGGTTGTTGATAACAAGAGTCCGTCCTCTATACGACATTTTAGGGAGCAGCCACTTCCATTTCTCCAAACGTCCTTTAATTTTTTCAACAACTCCTTCCCAATTCTTTTGTTGAGTCGTGTCATCACCTAAAAAAACTCCCAAATATTTTAAACCACCTTTCCCCCAGATTAAACCTTCAGGAATTTTTGGTTTGCCATTTTTCCATTTACCCACCAAAAGTGTTTCACATTTCTTCCAATTCACTTTTGCCGAAGATACAAGAGTAAAATCATTAATTAAATTAAATAAAATTTGCACATCTTTTTGTCCACTTACAAACACCACTACATCATCAGCATAAGCAGATAAACATATATTTTTTGTACAGTTAGGCAAATGTAATCCATGAATTCTTTCCCTTATTTTTTGTAATAAAGGCTCAATGGCCAAGGCGTACAACATTCCAGATAGAGAGCACCCTTGTCTTACACCTCTTTCAACCTGAAATGGAGCACATAAACCGCCATTAATTTTTAATACACTTTCAATATCACTATAGAGTACCTGGACCATCATAATAAAATCCTTTTTAAAACCAAATGCTGCTAAAGTTTTCCACAAATAGGGGTGCTCAACCCTATCAAAAGCTTTCTCCTGGTCCAGTGAAATCAATCCAAAGTCCAAATCAAGCAATTTTGACACCTCTAAAGCATCCCGGACTAAAGAGATGTTGTCAACAATGGATCTGCGAGGAATACAGTAGGACTGGTCTGGATGTATTACTTGCCTTATTACTTCAGCCAATCTGTTTGCCAAAACCTTAGAGAGCAGTTTGTAATCACAACAAAGAAGTGATACAGGGCGCCAATTCTTTATGTCTGTCAAATCTCCTTTCTTTGGTATTAGCGTTATCACTGCCCTCCTGCAGCTCAACGGCAACATACCTTTTGACAGACTATCGCTCAGCACTTGTAACAAGTCCGCTCCCAACTCTACCCAAAAAGACTTGTAAAAGTCAATTGGGAGGCCATCAATTCCAGGAGCTTTTCCCGATTCCATGTCATGAAGGGCCTTATACAACTCTCCCAGACTTAGCCCGCCTGAAAGAGCCACATTACCTTCTTCTGACATCTTTGGTAGGGAGTTCAAAAAAACATTGTCCTCATCACCCTCCAATACATACTCACTTCTATACAGATTTGTGTAAAAACCAACTGCTCTCTTCCGAATATCACTGGGGTTCAGCAAAACCTGACCCTCTTCCGACCGCAAGGCTTTAATCAATCTCTTCTGCCCATTTTTTTTCTCTAAACAGAAAAAAAACTTTGACGGTGCATCCATATGATTTATATTTTGGAATCTTGATCTGACCAATGCGCCCTGTGTTCTGTATTCGAGCAGATCCGCTAACTGAGCTTTCTTTTTGAAAAATAGTTCAAAATGATTATTTGTCCCAGTTGATTCAGCTATTCTTTGACACTCACTTAATTCTTTCTCCAAAGTTTCCAGAGATTTTTTAAACTCTATAGTGACATTGCGAGTATATTGCTGACAAAACTGTCTAATTTTAACTTTACCAATGTCCCACCACTGCTGTATTGAACTAAAATTAGTCTTTGATTTTCTATAATTCTGCCAAAAATACTTAAAAGAGTCTCTAAAAAAACTATCACTCAATAAAGAAATATTGAAATGCCAATAGGCACTGGTATATTTAATAGAATTTAAAATAAAATTACATTGTACCATACTATGATCAGAAAAACCTATTGGGATTATGGAGCAACTTTTAACAATATTAAGATGATGTGTAAAACCATACAATCTATCTAATCTGGCAAGGGATACCCTGTTTTCCCTCATACAAGCCCATGTATACTGCCTCGTATTTCCATTCAATTGTCTCCAAATGTCACATAATTCAAACTTCTTTATGAAATGAATGAGACGTTTCTGAGAAGACAAATGGGGTTCAACGTGGTTTCTATCAATCATATTCTCTGTGCAATTAAAATCTCCCCCCAAAAACAAATATTCCTCTTCTGAGCAATTTTGTAAAGTAGTACACAATAAATCTAAGAAAAACAATCTTTCCACAGGACGTGTTGGAGCATAAATACAGATAAAAACCAAAATATAGCTTTCATAGACAGCTCTAATTTTTAGTAATCTTCCTTTCACAATTTCATCAACAACGTAAGAAATTGGACTAAAACTCTTAGAAAATAATACTCCAACTCCTGCACTTATTGAAGTGTTATGGCTTAGCACAGTTAGCCCCTCAAACTCTCCTTCCCAGTCTGCTGCATTCCCCCCGTCACTATGTGTTTCTTGTAACAAAAAAATATCAAGATTCTTCTGTTTCATTAATTCATTTATCATTCCTCTTTTCTTAATGTCTCTAGCACCATTTACATTCAGGGTTGCTAGACGAACTTCACTCATGATAAAGAGGAGAAAAAACAGCCAAAAAACAACCACACTCATTAATGTGGAAAAAGAGCTCAACTTATTCAACATCATTCTTAAGTTTCTCTACATTCCTCACTAATTTTTTTAAACGATAAACTTCCTTATTGGTAAAGCATCCTTCAGCCATTAAATTCCTTGTTTTCTCAACAAACTGTGTTACATTAGGGAAATACTCTTGAACACACACCCCTCTCTTGTTCTTCGTTGACTTAAGGAATAACTTTATCTCTTCAACATCATAGTTACGAACAGAGAAGTCACTCAAAGACAACGCCACACTGGAATCTGATGATTCACTTTCACTTTCGGTTTCATTATTATCACTCCCATATAAGTCAGCTTTCTTCACAGCTTTTTTATTTTGAGACTTATCACTCATTTTTCTTTTTTGAGGTGTTTTGAACATTTCTGTTCCTGTCTCCATTTCCAATTCCACCAAATCAACTCCACTCTTTTCCTGCACAGCCTGTGTCACAACAATTCCAGTAGTAGCACCTTCTCTTTCCTTTTCAGGGAGTTTTGAGTTTTTTACATCAGATACCATATCAACTTTATCTTTCTTTTCTAAATCTACACCCGTCACACCAACAGATTTTATTGCAGATATCTCCTTGCAATTAACCACTTTAGTCCCACTGTGATGGTCACCCTGCACCTCTGAGCTCAGTGAAACTATACCAGCTTCTCTACTCGTGCTTGGATTGGACATGTCCCCTTTCTCAATGACTTTCTTTTCTGGGCAATTACGAATCAGATGCCCTGTTTTTCCACAACCAAAGCACTTTGTTTTAGCAGTTGTTACAAAAATGATGTAATCAAAATCATCAGCCCTGAAGCTAAGTGCAAGATCCAATTCCTCATCATCCTGAATTATCATGTATGCAAACCTCCTAAAAGACACAATATGTTTCAAGAGGGGAGAACCCGTGCTAATCGGGATTTTTTTTATTGGGGATACCAATTTACCATAGCGTGATAAAGCTTCAGTTATTATTTCGTCACTGAGAAAGGGGGGGACGTTAGACAAGGTGACCCTCTTAGAAGGTAGTGAGAGGGGAAGAACAGGAACAAACTCGCCACCAATCACAATCCCACGCTCAACTACTTCATTTACCTTTTCAATGTTACTAAAAAAAACCACAGTAGCGTTATTCATCCTCGATGCGGATAAAATACATCCGTGTCCAACAACTTCGCCAACCGCTAAACAAATCTCTTCTACACTCGCCGCAAACGCCACTTTCACTGCATGGCGTCGCGTGAGTGCAGACAAACCCTGTGTAGCCGGGGTCGTCATGCTTCTCCCGGTAAAGACCGGTAGCACGCGGCCCAAACCACACCAAAAAACTACCACTAACTAAACACAAACAAACAGAAAAAAAGGCGGAAAATACAAAGGTATTTAGACACAGAAAACAACTTCACTCACCGCACTCGCACTACACCACTCACGCACTCAACACCCACACCGGAAGTGAGAGAGAGAGAGAGAGAGAGAGAGAGAGAGAGAGAGAGAGAGAGAGAGAGAGAGAGACCAAGGAGAAGCGGAGACAGAGCAACTATGAGGACATTAGCGGGACATTTTATGCAAAATTTGAAATATGTTGCCCTAACTCCATCAAATTAAACAATAAAACACATCTTCAACATTTAATTAGGTGAAGAAAGAGATTGTATCCTACTAGCAGCAAGATATACTGATGCCTGTCACAAAAAGAGGGAGGAGTCGACTTATCAGTGATGCGCTCACACACACTCGCACGCACACAAACACACACGTGTGCGCAAACACTCACTGAATTCTAAATTGTTGATAGAATTTTGAAATGTTGATTGATTGTTCTACTTACCTTTTTTAATGTTTTTTTTAATGTCTGTTTATGTATGATGATTGGAAATTCTTTGGCAATACATTGAAACAATTGTCATGCCAATAAAGCACATTTGATTTGAATTGAATTTTGAGAGAGAGAGAGAGAGAGAGAGAGAGAGAGAGAGCGAGAGAGAGAGAGAGAGAGAGAGAGACAGAGAGAGTGAGAGAGAAAGAACGAGAGAAACAGAGAGTGAGAGAGCGAGCGAGAGAGAGAGAGCGAGAGAGAGAGAGACAGAGACAGAGACAGAGAGACAGAGAGACAGAGAGAGAGAGAGAGAGAGAGAGAGAGAGAGAGAGAGAGAGAGAGAGAGAGAGAGAGAGAGAGAGAGAGAGAGAGAGAGCATGGGAACAGGCATTAGGATTGTGGTTGTGGCTCAGCGTTTCCCAAGGCCAGCGGTAGGAAACAGAATAACTGGATCTCCCTGACCTCCTCAACTGCCCCCCGGGGGGTTCCTGTCTCAATGTTTAAAACAGACCGTCCAAACGCATCCTGGAGAGGCTGAGCCCAGTGTCGGAGCGGGCAGAAGAATAGAGCGCGGAGGGAAGCTAAGCCGGGTCTACAACAGCTAATCTGAGGACCACACAGACGAGGAGCAGGTCATTGTGTGTGAAGAGGCCAGCTGGGAGGTGGACGGTCCTCGGGCCCGGGGTCGACCTAAAGGGCAGGTGCGAGACCCCGATATACCTTCATTCACCCCTCACACAAACTATTTTGCAAGAGCCATTCACAAAAGGTACAATGGGCCTTTCCAGGAATGAGGATGCATGGGGTTTTTTAGGAGTCTGATGGAAATCCACGTCATTTAAACTCATTCACTCCAATGCAATAGCACTTTATACAATCATTCAGTCCTTGAGGATTTCATAATGTAATGTAAAATCAAGCAAACTGTGCATTATTTGTGGCGGCATGCATTTTGGTCTTATTTCTGCCAAAAAAAAGTTATAACCTGAGAGGGGTAAAGCAATGAAAATCCATAATCCAAACAAATGAATCGTATTGCGGTTGTATTGCAGTGAAGTGTTTGAAAATGTACGAATTGAGGCCCATTTGAGGGAATTTCAGTAATATGTGCATAAAAATGTACAGGTAATTATACTCTTACTGTCACACTAACAGTAAAGGGATAGTTCACCCTAATTAAAATGGAGTTATAATTTACTCACCCTGGTGTTGTTCTAATGCCGTATGGCCTTTTCTTCTTTTATGGATCACAAAAGGAGAATTTTTATAAAATGTCCCGCTCGCGCTCGTCCATATAATGGCAGTGAATAGCGACCAGCATCAAGCTTTTAAAAGTAAGAGACAAAAGTATCACCGAATGATCCCATGCGACACGTGTTCTTGGGGTTTACCATATGAAATTTAATGTATTTAAAGCAGCACTAAGTAGGAATTCCAGTTTTTGTCAAACAGCGACCCCTAGAGTCGCTGTGGAGTACTTGTACTGTCGTGAATAGCACTCACACAGAGATGGCTCGCGCTCACGGCCGGATCCCCTCCCCCTGTACACCGGTACCTGTTCAGTAGGATGGACGCTGTAACGAGTGGAAATAAGGTATGGTCCCTTTAAGAGCTGCGTGCGCCCTGTTTAACTGTCGGCAGTCTGTATTGTATGTGCGCCTCGAACACCACATGTATACGGCGCCGGGTTATTTCTGTTTGATGCTCATTTTATCAAAATTTTAGCAGATCTGTTTTTTGCCGTAAAGCAATTCGTTTCCTCGCGAGACCTGATATCACACGATACTTCCTAAGTATACTTCCCGCCGGCCCAAAGTTGCAAGGGTGGTTTTGCGGCTCACAGGCACCAGGGGGGTGCGAGACGACCACCATTCAACACGAAATCAGTAATATAAACATTACAATGACTCCAAAGCTGTTCGGTTAAGGTAAAAAAGTTACTTAGTTCACCTTTAACGAAAATCATTGGCCGTTGGTCTTCTGTGCGCGTTTATGAGACTCTATTAGCGCCCAGAAAAACACACACAAGTTGTGAGAAATCAAGATTAACAAAAACATAACATGAAACACAGCACATATACTTTCTTCTCTGAGGTGAATATATCCGTTGTGTTCGTCGTAACAAGACGTTATCGCGTTCACATCTCAGCTGTCATTCTGACTGTAAACAGAGATATGCAACTCAGTGAAGAAAGTACACGGATACTTTCTTGGGATTTCAAGACGTTGTATTTCATGTCGTGCTTTTGTTAATTTTTGACAAGTTTTGCTGATAGTCTCGTGAATGTGCAGTCGAGCACAGAAGACCAACGGCCAAGCTCAGGATTTTCCTTAAATAATAGATTCAGTTTCATGGTAGACCCCCAGAACACGTGTCACATGGGATCATTCTGTGATACTTTTGTCTTTTTCTTTTAAAAGCTTGATGCTGGTCTCTATTCACTGCCATTATCTGGACGGGCGCGGGCGGGAATTTTTTTTATTCTCCTTTTGTGGTGCATAAAAGAAAAAAGGGCATACGGCATTAATACAACACCAGGGTGAGTAAATTATGACTTAATTTTAATTTTAGGGTGAACTATCCCTTTAATAAGAAAATCATGATTGTTGATGGGTATTTTCAGATATGCATTTGGCTGACGCTTTTATCTAAAATGTCTGAGTTTGCATTCAAGGTATTTACATTTTTATAACTGGAAAGCACAAAAAATACAGCAATTATTGCTGCTCTTTTTAAGAAATGCCGCAGCAAATTCAGACATTTCAGGCTGTGAAATCCTGATGGGACTCTACAATACATGGAATAGTTTTAAACATGAAAAAAACAGAAAACAAACTGTAGTGTGTTCATGTTTTTACTCTCGCTTGACCTTGACGGAAATGAAGATTTCCACGTCAAAGAAGGCAGAGCCTCAGAGATAACAGGAAAATAATGCAACAATAGTGTCATAGTCCAGCTTAAGTTAGTTCAGGGATGGTTCATTTTAGTTGTAAAAAAAAAAAGTTATTAATTTAGTCCATTTATATATATAGCCACTTTGGAGAAAACAGTGATGTCATCATCCAGCTCAGATCAGTTCTAATATAATGGTGTCAATGCAGGCAGATCAATAATATTGTTGAATATTAAACATCATCGCCACGAACAAGGGTGACCAGCTGTTGTTGCTCTGTTGCAGGATGTACATGTGATTTTGTGGCACAATGCGGGACACGTGTGAGAGAGATAAATTTACTACTATTATACTATGTAAATGTTGACTTACATTAGTTGGAAAGCCTGTTTGCCATCCCGTTGGATGATAACATGTTTTACATCGCCAATTTGTGACCGGTTCTGTGACTGGCACTCAATTTGCCAGGTTTGATTTTACTCCACAGGAACTATTCAGTCTGCTAAATATCATGAGCTGAGAAACAGGCTAGTAGGTTAAAATCACATTTAAAATAAATTTCTTTAAAGGTGCAGTATGTGAGATTGACAGCTAGTGGTTGAAATAGGTACTGCAGTCCAAATTCACAATATTGGAGAGAGTTGTTTCCCCCATCTGCTCAGACTCGACGCTCACACGGGGTTGCAAGTTTGAGGACAAGCAACACGAACAAGCGAAATTGACAATGGAATGCGAGGAGACTTGCATTGCATTGACTTGTAAGTTGATGAGTTGATTTATTGATTTATGAAGAGTTGATATCGCGTTTTAATATGCTCCCATTCATAGAGATTTTTAGATGGATATCGAGGCTTTTTAGGTTGTGTGGAATCTGCAATCTCTGACCCAGTTTGTTCGCTGGCTTCCATGGCTGCAATATACTGTGTTTTCCGCCAACTGGCATCCCGGGTGGCGAAATACTATTGGCTGAACTGGCAGTGGGCGGAGTCACACAGACCGAAACAAGAAAAGACTGTCCGACACGGAACACACATTTCAAAGTAAAATAACTGTAGAAGTGTTTTCCAGAGAAACGAGTATGTGACTCAGCATGTTTCCTAAATATCTGCAAACATATTATGGTATTTTTATGCTTCAAAAACTTACATACAGCACCTTTAAAGCAACACCAAGTAACTTTTCCTCAGCGGTCGCCCTACAGGTTGGAAGCGGAATTGTCCATTACTGCTGTCATAAATAATTTAGCCCACCGCCGCCTACTGTCGCACGCGCACGCTCGCTGTTTATCCAGCGCCGGCTTTGGAATCAACAATGGCAGACATCCCAACCTGCAAGAAGTCATTTCAGGGAGGTATATCTTGGTGACTGGATTGTTGACGGGGGGGGGGTGGCGGGTTGACTAGCTTTCGTGAGGCACACTCGCAAGGTCTCTCGCGCTATGTATGTTATGCGCGCAGTATGTTCTGTCTCGCATGCGCGCTCTAGATTCTGGGAGATTTGAACTAATTTGCGGGCATCAGGGAGACGCTATCAGACAATTTGAGGAAGTGGTGGGGGAAGTGACGTATGCCGTAAAGCAGTCGAGTTTTGTAGTTCTTTTTGTGCTCGGGTTACTACCCGAAACCTGAAGTTACATAGTGCGAGTAAAAGCGATACAGACCACGTCATGGCAGACGTGTCATTCAACCTATTGTAAGTCGATGTACCATCACAAGGGTCTTGGAAATATATTATGAAGGTTGAAAAACTACATAGTGTTACTTTAAAGTCCCCTTGTAGTCAATAATTTTATATATATATAAATATATTTAAAAGTTTTTTCCTTTAAAAAAATGTCTTTATGCCTTAAAATAGCTTGAATGTAACTCGACACCCTTCCCTCATTTAGTATACGCGGTTCTATGAATATGCAAATGAGCCCCGCCTCCACTCACTCACTCACTCAGCTCAGAGATCCACTGGTTGACGATCACACGTTGATCTGATTGGTTACAAGGTCGTTTGTGACGTCAGAAACACCAGCGATTTCAAACCGTGTTTTTGAGACTGTCTTTGGTTCACTGCAGTTTTAAGCAGAAAATACTCAGCAATGCTGTCGACTTATGAACTTACACATGGTTTGTCTTAAAGCATATTAAAAACACCACATAGACATATAAACAATTATTAAAAGGGGGACTTTAAGTAGCGACTACTTTATTTTCCTTTATTAGACTATGCAAACATTGGATGCATTTTACCGGATTCAGTGCATCAGCATCTTAAACTTGTATTGTTTGTTGGATCTGGCAGGTTTGGGTAGGCTTTTCTCTTATCCAGTATGTGTCTAGATGAAGTCCGGCTGGTGTATCTGTATTTAATGGCTTTTAATGAAGGCCACACTGGTTCCTTTGCTCTGTCCATCTGTCATCAGTGGAAACATCCGTCTCTATTGCGCTGGCTGGTTATTTTCCCTGGTCTAGAACACGACTAGAACATTAACATGCATTTTACTAAATAAATAGGGTACAGTTTTAGCCTGGTTAAAACCAGAGCATTCTCAGTTGTAACCAGTGTTGAGCATGTTACTTAAAAAAGTAATTAGTTATAGTTACTAGTTACTTCTCACAAATAGTAACTGAGTTAGTAACTGAGTTAAATCCTTATAAAAGTAACTAATTACCAGAGAAAGTAACTATTGCGTTACTTAAAAAAAAAAAAAATCAAATAGGCCTATGTCAAATAATTTGGATGCCCCCAGTATTAAATATTTTAAATTAATGAAATGGACACTTAATAGTGTAGATTAGTGTTCAATGTTTTTATAATAATCATTTATTCTATTTTAATGTTGCGGTGGGACAATGTGAGAGACGCCTATTAAATTCAATATATTATTCTAAATATTAGCATTACTATAGTAGAACAATAAAACATTATAGATGGTTTATACTTAATATCGCACAGACCCCAACTGGCCAACAAATTAGTTTAAAAATAAATTATGATTCTTAAGAAATGTACCAAAAATGAATAAATAATAATAAACAATATACATACTCTTTGTGCATATTAAATGATAATAATAATAATAATATGTTTATTTTATATAGCGCCTTTCAGAGTACTCAAGGTCGCTTTACAATAAAGTACAAATAAACCTGACAGAAACATGACATAGAACAAAAAATAAATTGAGATAGTGGTACATAAACATAGAAATCAAGGGAAACAAGTAGCAAAAAGATACGTTTTTAGGTGAGTTTTGAAATCGTGTAATGATGAAAGGTCGCGGATGTGTTGGGGAATAGAATTCCAGAGAGTTGGGGCAGCAGTACAAAAAGCCCTTCCACCAAATGATGATAGTTTGTGCCGTGGAATCGTTAAAAGACCGGTATCGGAGGATCTAAGTGTGCGAACTGGGGAGTAGGTATGGATGAGATCAGAGATATAGGTGGGGGCAAGACCATGGAGTGGTTTGAATGTGATAAGGAGTATCTTGCAGTTAATACGAAAACGTACTGGTAGCCAATGTAGTCTGCGTAAAATCGGAGTAATGTGGGAAGATTTCTTTGTGAATAAGGACCCTAGCTGCGGAGTTCTGAATGTATTGGATTTTATTTATAGATGAGTTGGGTAAGCCATAGAAAAGAGAATGGCAGTAATCAAGCCGTGATGAAAGCATGAACCAAGGTTTCAGCATCGCTGGTGTTCAGAAATGGACGTAAGCGTGCGATATTACGAAGGTGAAAGAAGGCAGACTTTGTGAGAGAGGAAATGTGTGGAAGGAAGGAAAGAGATGAATCAAAGATTATACCAAGGTTTTTGACAGTAGTGGAAGGTTGAACCGAAACTCCAGCAATGTGAACATTGTCAACACTGAAACAGGATGTAAATCGAGGTGAGCCAATAAGAAGTAGATCTGTTTTATCAGTGTTGAGTTTGAGAAAATTACTGGTCATCGAAGCATTTATATCATCAATACAGGCTGAAATGGAATTTGTGGGAAAAGTAGCATTGCGTTGTGAATGGATGTATAGTTGGGTGTCATCTGCGTAGCAATGGAATTTAAAGTCATGTTGACGGATGATGTTACCTAATGGGAGCATATAGATGATGAAGAGAAGGGGCCCAAGAACAGAACCCTGGGGAACACCGTGTGGGACAGAGGCAGTAGTGGACTTAGCCTGGCGGATAGAGATGTAATGCTGACGATCAGACAGGTAGGAAGTTAACCAAGATAGGGCAGTTCCAGAAACACCAAGAGCAGAGAGTCGTGAGATGAGAATACTGTGAGAGATTGTGTCGAATGCAGAGGAAATATCTAGAAGAATTAGAATACTGGTGGAGCCGGAGTCAGTGGCCATAAGGAGATCATTGACAACCCTAAGAAGTGCTGTCTCAGTGCTGTGGAGGGTGCGGAAAGCGGATTGAAAACATTCATAGTGGTTGTTAGATGACATGTGTGTTTGAAGTTGGGCAGCGACCACTTTCTCAAGCAGTTTCGAAAGAAATGATGAATTTGAGATTGGTCTGTAATTGGCCATGTTGGTGGGGTCGAGGCCGGGTTTCTTTAGGACAGGAGTGACAGCAGCAGTTTTTAATTCCAGAGGAACAGAACCAGTACTTAGTAGTTGGGAGATGAGAAGTGAAATCGGCAAAGAAATAAGAGGTGCACATTTTTTAAGTAAAGTAGTAGGAGCTGGATCAAGATGACAGGAAGATGTGTTTGCTTTGTTGATTAGCTTTGTTGATAAAATAAGTGAGAGTACCAGGAGTAAAACTGTTACACAACTTCACAACTAGTAGACATACTGTAGCCTAAGTATTTTCTTCCTCACAAAAGTAAACAGTTTAACAAGTGCTCTCTCAATATAATACTGAACAATGTACCAAAAATATATATATAATACTAAAATATAATATTTTGGGGGTTTATTTTTAGCAAACGTCATCATCAGAGGTTATTTAAGCCAAATTCTAGACATGTTTGCCGCACGTGTTTACAACCGGTCAAACAAAGATGTTTTCTGGGAATGTTCCCTGCAGGTTATTTTCGGGTTTTATTTTATAACCTAAACAGAACGTTCCCTATAGGTTATTTTTTAGATTTTATTTGGATAACCATGTCAATTAATTAACGTTGCAGGTGATACCAATAGGCTATAGATAATGCTGTCTAATGCTGAAATGTGTCATTTATTTATAAACAAGCTATATAATGCTCGGACACCCTCGGTCTCTCTCGCGCAACTGTTGAGCGCGCTCTCGGACACACTCGGTCTCTCTCGCGCATTGAGCGCGCTCGCGCCGTTCGCTTCACTTTTGTCCACTCCGGCGCCTCATAAACACACACACACCAGAGAAAAAAACTTTGCAGGTCATATGGCGGAGAGAGAGCCTACTCGGATGAAAACCGCTTCAGTGAGTTCAATTATAGTAACGCCACATTATTTTGCCAGTAAAGGTAACTGCGTTGTAACGGGGGAAACAGTAATTCGTTTGATTACTCGTTACTGAAAAAGATAACGCCGTTAGTAACGCCATTTATTTATAACGCCGTTATTCCCATCACTGGTTGTAACTGAGTTATGGTCTGGCAAAGCGTCATAGACAAATCATTTCCAGAGGGGCGTCACCAACGGACGTCACGGATAGACCTAAACCCAATCAGAGCGATGAAGGAGATGACGTATGCAGAGCGGCGGAGAAACATCTCCGAGTGTTGTTCTTTGCTCGGCTTTTAACTAAAAGGAAACGTTCAAATGGCTTAAAACAGACGTGATAGCTGATTGGAACGAGTGATGTTCGACGGTGGCATCCATCTTTGTAATGTAGGCTACAAAATCTGCTTCAAAATCCCAGCGCTGTCGTCATCGTGTAAAGCCCGCCCCAACGCTTCTGATTGGTGCCGCGATTTCGACGGATTGGAAATGGGCTTGAATGAGCTCTTTGCCAGACTAACTTTCAGAGCAAATCTAAATTTGCCGGAAGTTTTCTGGTTTTTCCCAGTCCTAGTACATTTTCATTTCAAATGCGAATGCGCTTATTTTTGCTTTGACATTGATGAAAGAATCTGTTACAAGCAGGGTTTGAAATTAACACCCGCCAACCCACCAAATGCGGGTATTAATCAACTGTGGCTGTCAAATCACGAACCAATTTGGCGTGTTACTTGTTATTTATTGAAATTTATTGAAAAGATTTCTGGTACAGGATATGCAATCCTCTATTCCAGACTCTAAAAAACACAAACAGATATATTTACATATAACTTCACATTTTAACATTTTATAAATAACACATTAATTTCATAAATTGAAGTTTTCCTAACAATCCTAAATAAATTACATAAAATGAATTACATTAGTTACTGGCAAGCTTTATAATTATACATAACACCTTTTGACAGGCAGAATGCATCCAACCTGTTCTTAAAGGAATTAATAGAAGGGGAACACACAACTTCTTCTGGAAGTTCATTCCATGATTTTACCGCACGGAGTGTAAAAAAGTTATTTCTCTTTTCAGACAGACATGTTCTAGGGTAAAGTTTTAAAGAATTCCCTCGTGTCTCGTACCTATTGTTCCAGAACTGAAAGATAGGTTCAGCTGTTACATCGTATATTCCCTGTACAAGTTTATATACCTGAATCATATCTCCTCTATTATATCTCCTAAATTTGAGAGTTGGTAAACGTAATTCCCTCAATCTATCTTCATACGTCATATTTTTAATTCCTGGAATTAATTTAGTAGCTCTTCTCTGGACCCTTCCAATTTTCTCCACATATTTTAATTTATATGGACACCAGACTGAGCTTGCATATTCAAGATGTGATTTGTACTCTGGTAAAAAATATATCCTTACTTAAATTTTGAAAAGTTCTTCTTATTATTGCAATCATAGATGTTGCTTTTTTAACTTTTTCAGAAATATGTGAGTGGAATTCAAGTGAACCATCCACCACAACACCTACGTCTCTCTCCTCATGTACAGGATTAACTGCTATATCCCCAACTGCATAATTGGCTACAGTGTCCTTTTTTTTCCCAATATGTAAATGTTTACACTTTTCAGGATTCATCTTTAATATCCACTGGTCACACCATTTGCTCATGCTAGCATACATCTTCTTGAAGATCCTGTTCCACCTAAAACACATGTTTGGGGATGAGGATGAAAGAGAAAGGAGATGGCTAGATCTGGATTTTGTTTGAATAAGAAATTAATTAAATCCAAATTTTATAATCTATGAAAAATATATATATATATAAAAGCTGTGACGTTGTTAATTTGGTTAATTTATTATTATTATTATTATTTATTATTATTATTTTTTTTTGGCGAGTAGAAGCTCTGAATGGCCGGTAACTTAAACATTTAGTAGCCAAATTTGCCGTTAAGTGAAAAAGTTAATTTCAAACTCTGGTTTCAAGTCAACTCACAAACATTCCTCATTCCTCATTCAAACATCTTGTTACCATTTCAGGGTTATCAGCTTATCTCACCGTGAGGAAGATCCGATGATCCAGTCGCCCATATTCTGGATCTGCATAGCCATTAAAGTCTGAGACAAAGAGTGAATTCATAAGAGCGGCAGTGGGAAAGAAGAGAGAGTGGCTGAACAGAGGAATGAGAGATAGAGAGAGAAGTATAATGTTACTTCCAGCTGTCCTCCGTCATCCATGCTTTCTCTGGGACGTATGGCCACGAGTTAAAGCCAAGCATCCGGTGTATGTCAGACCCGTGAGCTTCTGCACAGGACTCAAATAAGGTCGACGACCTCTTGCACAAGGGGCCGGTCCATCATCCTATGGCAACTTTCAGAATGAGCTCAGCTGAGAAAACACAGATGCAGCCGATGCTGTAATAGACAAGAATATTTACATCAATTCTGTCTGTGCTGACAGGAACTATGTGGCAACTCAAGACATAAGACATATTAAAAGTCGCCTGCAAATTAAAAATGTATTTTTAACTGCTCACACTCAGAGATGCATTTTGAAGAATGGTCCCGTTGCTCTTTTTCACTTGTCAATACAATGAAAAGATATTGATCAAGAGCTGTGAATAAAAGCACCATGACATTCAGTACCAGGTGTGCTTCCATCCAGGCCTGACTTCGTCATACTCATATTCTAGTCAGACTGTGAGTCTGATACTGCTCCATAGGGCTTTGATTATGAAGCGTGTCTTAACCGAACCAGGAAAAAAAAAAACTCTGCACTCAATTGGATAGACCTCCAACCAATCAGAGCAACGCAGTAAGTGTTTTTTTATGAGCTACGCACAGTTGTCAACAGAACTCAACTACACTCACGCTGTCACGATACAATTTACAAAAGTGGAGAGGAGGACTCAAGTGCAGTGAAGGGATGATTTATTAACTAAATAAAACAAAACACAAAGCAAAAACCCACAAAGGGGAAAACACAATAAATGAAACATAAAACAACACTGAACTAGGAGAACCAATACTGACTAAGAACATGACGACCATCACAGGGAAACCGGGGTGACAAAAGGCAAAGATCCGACAAAGACTGCATACAAGGGGAGACTTATAAAGGGAACAAATCAAGAGGGAAACAGGTGGTTGAACTCAAACAATAATCAGGTAACGAGGGGGAGGGATCAGACAATGACATGAGCACATGGCCCAACATAACAAACACCCAAGTGTCACACAGGACAGGACAGACACGTGACACTACCCCCTCCCTACGGAGCGGCTACCAGACGCTCCATCCGGTGGCACGGGAGGGACACACCAGGGGGGCACGGGAGAGACAGGAACATAGGGCGGCCAGGGCGGTGAAGAGCCCTCGGGCGGCCAGGGCGGTGAAGAGCCCTCGGGCGGCCAGGGCGGTGAAGAGCCCTCGGGCGGCCAGGGCGGTGAAGAGCCCTCGGGCGGCCAGGGCGGTGAAGAGCCCTCGGGCGGCCAGGGCGGTGAAGAGCCCTCGGGCGGCCAGGGCGGTGAAGAGCCCTCGGGCGGCGAAGAGCCCTCGGGCGGCCAGGGCGGTGAAGAGCCCTCGGGCGGCCAGGGCGGTGAGGACCCCTCGGGCGGCCAGGGCGGTGAGGACCCCTCGGGCGGCCAGGGCGGTGAAGACCCCTCGGGCGGCCAGGGCGGTGGAACAGGAGCAACCACCGACTCAGGAACTGCAGCAGGCACCGGCTCAGGAACTGCAGCAGGCACCGGCTCAGGAGCTGCAGCAGGCACCGGCTCAGGAACTGCAGCAGGCACCGGCTCAGGAACTGCAGCAGGCACCGGCTCAGGAACTGCAGCAGGCACCGGCTCAGGAACTGCAGCAGGCACCGGCTCAGGAACTGCAGCAGGCACCGGCTCAGGAACTGCAGCAGGCACCGGCTCAGGAACTGCAGCAGGCACCGGCTCAAGAACTGCAGCAGGCACCGGCTCAGGAACTGCAGCAGGCACCGGCTCAGGAACTGCAGCAGGCACCGGCTCAAGAACTGCAGCAGGCACCGGCTCAAGAACTGCAGCAGGCACCGGCTCAGGAACTGCAGCAGGCACCGGCTCAGGAACTGCAGCAGGCACCGGCTCAGGAACTGCAGCAGGCACCGGCTCAGGAACTGCAGCAGGCACCGGCTCAAGAACTGCAGCAGGCACCGGCTCAAGAACTGCAGCAGGCACCGGCTCAAGAACTGCAGCAGGCACCGGCTCGGGAACAGCAGCAGGCACCGGCTCGGGAACAGCAGCAGGCACCGGCTCGGGAGCAGCAGCAGGCACCGGCTCAAGAACTGCAGCAGGCACCGGCTCAAGAACTGCAGCAGGCACCGGCTCGGGAACAGCAGCAGGCACCGGCTCGGGAACAGCAGCAGGCACCGGCTCGGGAACAGCAGAAGGCACCGGCTCGGGAGCAGCAGCAGGCACCGGCTCGGGAGCAGCAGCAGACACCGGCTCGGGAACAGACACCGGCTCGGGAACAGACACCGGCTCGGGAACAGACACCGGCTCGGGAACAGACACTAGAACAAAAATAGTCACAAAGACAGACACAAACACAGACACAAAAACTGGGTCAGGAACAGGCACTGGCTCTGGCTCCGCCTCCGGCTCAGGAACGGGCACCGGCTCAGGAACGGGCACCGGCTCAGGAACGGGCACCGGCTCAGGAACGGGCACCGGCTCCGGCTCCGGCTCAGGAACGGGCACTGACTGTTCCACTGGCTCAGCCTCCGGCTCGGAAACGGGCACTGGCTCTGCCTCCGGGTCAGAACCCGCAGACACTGGCTCTGCCTCCGGCTCAGGAACAGCAGAGACTGGCGCATCCAATATCCGAGCCAGACGCTCCAGGTAGTCCCAGTTCAGGAAGGCAGAGGAAACAGGGACAGTCTCTCGCTGGGCAGACGGGACGGGGACAGTCTCTCGCTGGGCAGACGGGACGTGAACAGTCTCTCGCTGGGCAGACGGGACGGGAACAGTCACTCGCTGGGCAGACGGGACGTGAACAGTCTCTCGCTGGGCAGACGGGACGTGAACAGTCTCTCGCTGGGCAGACGGGACGGGAACAGTCACTCGCTGGGCAGACGGGACGTGAACAGTCACTCGCTGGGCAGACGGGACGTGAACAGTCTCTCGCTGGGCAGACGGGACGGGAACAGTCACTCGCTGGGCAGACGGGACATGAACAGTCTCTCGCTGGGCAGACGGAACGTGAACAGTCTCTCGCTGGGCAGACGGGACCTGAACAGTCTCTCGCTGGGCAGACGGGACGGGAACAGTCACTCGCTGGGCAGACGGGACGTGAGCAGTCTCTTGCTGGGCAGACGGGACGTGAACAGTCTCTCGTTGGGCAGACGGGCATTTCCTCCTCCTCCGTCCGTGACGGCGAGAAGTAAGTCCTGAGCTGTCCCTCAATGGCCCGGAATCAAAAAGGGCCCCGGATGGAGCGTGGTGTTGAACCACTTCTCGACCCTCTCGTCCTCCCTTACAACCTCCCCGGGTCCCTCGAAAAATGATCAGGCGAGTCCCCCGAAAATCTCTCCTCTCCTGCTCCGTGGCTGGGGAAGAGAATCTCGAAAAACCCCCGCTGGACCCAGGGTTAGGCGGAGTCCTTCTGTCACCATAGGTGGACGAAAATTGGGTTGACCCAAATGTGGCGATGGTGTAATCCGGGCAATCCAAGTAATCGTCATCCATATAATTGTCATCCAGATTCGCCCAGTCAAACTCCTCATCCTCCATGCTGCTGAGTCCTCAAGTGGTCGGATCTTTCTGTCACGATACAATTTACAAAAGTGGAGAGGAGGACTCAAGTGCAGTGAAGGGATGATTTATTAACTAAATAAAACAAAACACAAAACAAAAACCCACAAAGGGGAAAACACAATAAATGAAACATAAAACAACACTGAACTAGGAGAACCAATACTGACTAAGAACATGACGACCATCACAGGGAAACCGGGGTGACAAAAGACAAAGATCCGACAAAGACTGCATACAAGGGGAGACTTATAAAGGGAACAAATCAAGAGGGAAACAGGTGGTTGAACTCAAACAATAATCAGGTAACGAGGGGGAGGGATCAGACAATGACATGAGCACATGGCCCAACATAACAAACACCCAAGTGTCACACAGGACAGGACAGACACGTGACACACGCTGGAAGAAGTAGTAAAATAAAGAGTGTTGCTTCTTTTACTTGGTCCTCCATGAGTGCGACCAAAGGAGAAACCACAACGACCACAGGGTTTTCATTGCGTCCCGTCTTCTTAGTGACCATCGGAGCCAGCTGATAAAATAAACTTTTGCCGAATCCCGTAGGAAGGACGGCAAACACATCTTTCCGATCGACAAATGCCTTGATTGCAGTTCTCTGTTCGTCTTTTAAAATTAATGCGCTGTCGATTTCTTTTACAACAGACGCGATAGCGGGATCTATACATCTCAGTTCTCCAGCTGCAGTCATCTCTGAGGGAAACCAGTTCAACCCAAGCGCTCTTTGATAACGTGATGATTACGTAACTGCAGATCATCTGTCCATCATCGTATAAAGCCCGCCCTGGCAATTTGATTGGCCCGACTAATTCTGAACCGATCATAATTACTCCTCAATGGAGCGAGTCCAGACCGAACTTCCCGACCAAAATATTTTGTGGGCGGGGTTCGGGCTGGCATCCAGGCTACTTCCATCCACCTTTTTTATGCGCATTTTACTGTCTGTGGTGACGGGAACTATGTAACCTTTTGCGTTGTATTTTTTATGACATTGTTTATTGACGTATTGTACTGTATATTGGTTATTATCGTATTGTTTTCTTTGGCATCGTATATTCATTTAAATTAGATGTTTTGCTTGAACAAAGTTTTATGTGATGGCACTGTAAGGATTGCTCCAATTTCACTATACCTTTGTAGAGTGACAATAAAGAGTCTTGATTCTTGAATCTTGAACACAGAGATGCATTTTGAGGAACGTTCACGTTGCTCTTTTCCACTTTCAATACAATGAAAGGATAATGACCAAGAGCTGTCAAAAACACCATAAAAGCACCATGACACTCAGTCTTGGTGTGTTAAAACGTACCAGTTTTGACGTCAGTGACACTAGCTATGTTTCCATCCACCTATTTTTATGCACATTTTGGGATATCGCGCTTATTTTTTTAAATGCACAATGGAAACATCAAAATGCACATAAATGATAAAAATGCGCTTAAAAAATATATGCACGTACACAAACTACGATCGAAACACATTTACTGGATAAATCCCTCGATGCGCGACAAAAACCTCACAGGATTTTCCCTCAGCAGAGGCTGTGATTGGATGACTGGACTAACCAGCGGACCAATCACATCGCAGCATCTCAAATGTTGGTTTAGTGTTTCTGAAACGCCGAGTCAAAGTCTGTCATCAGAATGATTTGGTGTAAAAGCGTCTCACACGAGTGTGTTCCCAAAC